AGTTTTCCAAGTTCTTTTTTGAGATTCGGTACGTGCCGGGGAAGGAAAACGTCAGAGCAGACGCCCTCTCCTGTAAACCGGAGTACTTGGAAGGAGAGGGAGTGCCGGAAGTACGACATGTCATACCCGAGGACCGATGGGTGTGTGGGGGAGTGTTGGTAGGGAGACAGGAACTAGCCGGGTTGACGAGGAATGACGAGTACGCCCAAACAAAAATCAGGGAGATCCGAGGCGCAGAAGAAAATCAGGGGGGTTTTGAGGAAAAGGAGGGGGCTCTGTACTATAAGGGAGCATTGTACATACCCGAAGGGGACTTGAGGAGAAGACTACTCAAACAACTACATGACAACCCCACGGCGGGACATTTTGGTCAACACAAAACCATGTTGCTTGTCACCAGGCAGTTCTGGTGGCCAAGGGTGAGGGAAGATGTGCGGGAATACGTACGGGGGTGCGAACGCTGCCAGCGGGCTAAAGGGGAGAAGGCAGCACCCGTGGGGTTACTGGAACCCTTACCCACTCCGGAAAGACCATGGGAGGTGGTATCCATTGATTTTATGACCGATTTACCCAAGTCCAGGGGGAAAACAGCAGTCATGGTGGTGGTTGTGCCATTTTATTGCTTGCTCGCATGCAGTGACGGCAGAGGAAACAGCCAGGCTGTTTGTAGATCACGTCTTCAGGTTGCATGGTGCCCCCTTGAGGGTTTTGTCCGACAGAGGGAGGCAATTTACTTCTAGATTCTGGAGGAAGCTCATGAGCCTGCTGGACGTTGAGGTGAGCTTCTCGACGGCCAGACACCCAGAGACCAACAGACAAGCAGAAAGAGCTAATAGCATACTTCAACAGTACCTACGCTGCTACGTCAACGAAAGGGAGAACGATTGGGTGGGAAAACTACCGCTGGCCGAATTTGCATACAATAACGCTGAACATGTGTCCACGGGGATGAGTCCGTTCATGGCCAATTACGGGTGTCACCCCAGGGCCTTCCCAGGGGAGGTGGAGTGTGCCGGCGGCCGAACAATTTGTGGAAGAAATGGAGGCTTTACACCAACAACTTAAGGTTAACCTGGAGAGGGCGAAGGAAGCGTACAAGAGGCAGGCAGACAAGCACCGCAGAGAAGGGGAGACAATAAGAGTTGGGGACCAGGTGTGGTTGTCAACCCAAGGGCTACCGTTCAAAGGGGGGGTGTAAGAAATTACGGCCAAGGCGACTGGGACCCTTCGAGGTAACACAACAGGTGAATCCTGTGACCTTTAGACTCAAATTGCCCACCAACATGAAGCTGCACCCGCTGTTCCACAGGTCCTTACTCTCACCGTACCGGGAAGGGAGGGAATTTCTGGGGCAAGAAAGAGAAATTCCCATGCATCCACGGGTGGAGGAAAGGGAACTCAGTGGTCAAGCAGCGGAAATTCTCGATTCAAGGTGGAGAGGGAGACGGGTGGAATATTTGGTGGCTTGGGAGGGGGAGCCCGAGTCGGAGAACACTTGGGTTCCTGCAGAAGAGATCAGGGATGAGTATCTGCAGGAGGAGTTTCATCGCAGGTTCCCAAGGAAGCCCAAACCATTAGGGAGGTTCTGGGAGGAGCAATTTGGCAACACGGATGATGAAGAAGAGTTTGGGGGATTACCCGCCTCCGAAGAGGAGGAAGGGGGGATATCCGAGGGAGAGGAATCCGACTGGGGAGATTGGGCAGCGGAAAGAGACAGCAGCAGGTGGAGAGCGGTGTTGGAATCATCTGAGGAAGAGGATAGCTCCTTCCAGGGGTTCCCCGCATCACCGTCCAAGGAACGGACGGGGGAGGGGGAGGGCCCTGGGAGGGAGGTGGATGTCAGGGAACTGCCATCAGAGACAAGAGGAGAGGTAAGGCTCCCCAATGAGGCAGGGGAGGGAACTAGCAAGGAGAGAGAGAGAGAGCTTCCGCTGGGGAAGGGAATCAAGGTGACACCAGGAAGAAAGGGGAGGCTGAGAGTACTTCGGAGGGAAGGCTCCGAGACTCTTCTAGTGAGATCACTGGGGAGAGCACAGGACCTCCACTTGGCACGCCCACGCTGCGCAGAAAGCTTCCGCGCAGAGAATCGAGGAGGAGACTTGGAGTCAAGGAATTCTTATGTTGGAAGAAGTTTAGGAAACGCCCACTGACGGATTCTGCCAGTGACTGAGACAGTCGCGTTGTAGGGCTGTCAAACCAGGGAAAGGTTTAGCTATACAACCAGCTTGGAGCAGTTTGGAATTTACACACAAGCAACCCCAATTCCCATTACAGTCAGCAAATTTGGAAAACTCAGCAGTGGCCAGAGGATTGGAGAAGATCAGTCTACATCCCAATCCCAAAGAAGGGCAGTGCCAAAGAATGCTCCAACTACCGTACAATTGCACTCATTTCACACGCTAGCAAGGTTATGCTTAAAATTCTACAAGGCAGGCTTAAGCAGTATGTGGACCGAGAACTCCCAGAAGTGCAAGCTGGATTTAGAAGAGGCAGAGGAACCAGAGACCAAATTGCAAACATGCGCTGGATTATGGAGAAAGCTAGAGAGTTCCAGAAAGACATCTACTTCTGCTTCATTGACTATGCAAAAGCCTTTGACTGTGTCGACCACAGCAAACTATGGCAAGTTCTTAAAGAAATGGAAGTGCCTGATCACCTCATCTGTCTCCTGAGAAATCTCTATGTGGGACAAGAAGCAACAGTTAGAACTGGATATGGAACAACTGATTGGCTCAAAATTGGGAAAGGAGTACGGCAAGGCTGTATATTGTCTCCCTGCTTATTTAACTTATGTGCAGAATTCATCATGCGAAAGGCTGGGCTGGATGAATCCCAAGCTGGAATTAAGATTGCTGGAAGAAATATCAACAACCTCAGATATGTAGATGACACAACCTTGATGGCAGAAAGTGAGGAGGAATTAAAGAACCTTTTAATGAGGGTGAAAGAGGAGAGCGCAAAATATGGTTTGAAGCTCAACATCAAAAAAACGAAGATCATGGCCACTGGGCCCATCACCTCCTGGCAAATAGAAGGAGAAGAAATGGAGGCAGTGAGAGATTTTACTTTCTTGGGCTCCATGATCACTGCAGATGGTGACAGCAGTCACAAAATTAAAAGACGCCTGCTTCTTGGGAGAAAGGCGATGGCAAACCTAGGCAGCATATTAAAAAGCAGAGACATCACCTTGCCAACAAAGGTCCGTATAGTGAAAGCCATGGTTTTCCCAGTAGTGATGTATGGAAGTGAGAGCTGGACCATCAAGAAGGCTGATCACCGAAGAATTGATGCTTTTGAATTCTGGTGCTGGAGGAGACTCTTGAGAGTCCCATGGACTGCAAGAAGATCAAACCTCTCCATTCTGAAGGAAATCAGCCCTGAGTGCTCACTGGAAGGACAGATCCTGAAGCTGAGGCTCCAATACTTTGGCCGCTTCATGAGAAGAGAAGACTCCCTGGAAAAGACCCTGATGTTGGGAAAGATGGAGGGCACAAGGAGAAGGGGACGACGGAGGACGAGATGGCTGGACAGTGTTCTCGAAGCTACGAACATGAGTCTGACCAAACTGCGGGAGGCAGTGGAAGACAGAAGTGCCTGGCGTGCTCTGGTCCATGGGGTCACGAAGAGTCGGACACGACTAAACGACTAAACAACAACATAGCTCTTGGATGGGGCATAGGGAAAGAGAATCTGGAGTTCTCAGGCAAATGTGCAAACAGGGACTTCAATATGGCTTCCAGTTTCCTGGCTGCTCCCTGGGGTGAAAGAAACCTGCTTTTTTTCTACTGCAGTCCCTCCTGCAGAGATTCCAGCAGCCTGTCAACCCCAATCCTATACCTCTGTGTAGCATGAACCAAGCAGCTTAGGCTCATGGGGGGGTCCTCCACTAACCTTGTGAGTTGCCAACGATGCACATGAGACCCGCCTGTCAAATTATGTCAGGTTTATTAGGAATAAAGAAGACAAGGGAGAGGACAAAGAGATAAAGCAGAATATGGAAAACAAAAGGAGCTCTTGAGCTCAGGTCTAGCTTATACTGAACCAATTACTTACTAGCAGGCTTCTTGCCTCAAGACAGATGGTCAGTTGCAGGTTTTCTGATGGTCAAGTAGGGCTGAGGGGCATTGGTGGGAGGGGCAAAGCACTGCATGACCTCCGTCTTTAAGGTTTTCCCACCAATGCTGTGGGAAGTGACAGAAATCACCACCAGGATTTTTCAAACTTCCTGCCAAACAAAACCTGTCCTGCGTTTGTGAATTTGGGGAGAAAGGTATGCCTGGCTCACTAAGGCGAAAGGGTGGGCAGACAAACAGGGTTTTTTTGCTACAGGGAACACAAAAACATTGATGAATTTGTGTGAGGATTTTATTTTTAATTTCTCCTTGCAGGAGAAAGAGGCGCATTTGAACTATGTGGGTGAACAGGAGTAGCAGAAGACCATTCTCTAGGAACAAACATTAGACAGGCCACCCTGAGCCTAAACAATATATCCTCTACCTTCCTTAACATTCCCACAGAACTGGGGTCGGAAGGTTTTGGCCCAGCCTGGCTCAGCTGGAATGACAGATCAGAAGAGGAAATGAGGCTTTGCAAGAAGAAACCCCCTGGCAGCCCAGGGTCAGTGGCAGGACACTTGGCTAGGCTGGTGCTCAGAGCCAACTTTTGAATATCTGTGGGGTTGCTCCACACAAGCAATGTTGCCTCTCATCTGAGGATCAGTTTACAATGTCAGCAGCAGAAACACACAAGAGGAAGGCACGTTTGGCAAACCCTCACTGTGATCAACTCCCAGCCAGAAACCTCTGTCCCCACTGTGGAAGGACGTGTGGATCCAGAATTGGCCTCCGCAGTCACCTACGGACTCACTGTTAAGACCGTGTTCATGGAAGACAATCTTACTTGGCTACGAGGGATGACCAAAGAAGAAGAAGAAGGAAAAGAAGACTGGCAGGTTCATCAAGTTATCAGCAGTTTCAGGGAAGGACCATAACTCACCGCACCTGACTGATTTGCAGAAAGTCCCCTGGCTCAATCCCTGGGTGAGGGGAAAGATGACCCTCCTCTGCCTGAGGAATCCCTGGAGAGCTGCTGCTCTAGGCATTGAACTGGGCTACAGAGGAATCTCTTTCCTGCACATAGAAACGTGGAAGGATTGAGCCGGCACTTCTCTTTAAAAAAAAGAAAAAGATTTTTATTAAAGTTTTCAAAATGTTACAAAAGGAAAAAAGAAAAAGAAAAAATACAAAGTAAAAACAGTTAAAAACAATTCAATCTTTCCGTGTCTTATCTTTCATTCGCTTGTTCCCCAGACCTCCTCACACCTCCCTTTTTTGTATCCAGTTCAATTAGTTGGTTCAGCAAATCCTTTCCCTCTTTGTTTTTATCCTAATCTTTAATCTTAATATATTATAACTTTAGATTATCCCCTGTTACCAATCCATTTTTACACATCTTTATAACATTACTGCTAAAAACCACTTAACTTCAATCCAACATCATTCTAACATTCATTAATTTTGCAGTATTTCTGTAAATAGTCTTTAAATTTCTTCCAATCTTCTTCCACCGACTCTTCTCCCTGGTCTCGGATTCTGCCGGTCATTTCCGCCAGTTCCATATAGTCCATCACCTTCATCTGCCATTCTTCCAGGGTGGGTAGATCTTGTGTCTTCCAATACTTTGCGATAAGTATTCTTGCTGCTGTTGTGGCATACATAAAGAAAGTTCTATCCTTCTTTGGCACCAATTGGCCGACCATGTCCAGGAGAAAGACCTCTGGTTTCTTCAGGAAGGTATATTTAAATACCTTTTTCATTTCATTATATATCATCTCCCAGAAAGCCTTAATCCTTGGGCACGTCCACCAAAGGTGAAAGAATGTACCTTCAGTTTCTTTACATTTCCAACATTTATTATCGGGCAAATGATAGATTTTTGCAAGCTTGACTGGTGTCATGTACCACCTGTATATCATTTTCATAATATTCTCTCTTAAGGCATTACATGCCGTAAACTTCATACCTGTGGTCCATAACTGTTCCCAGTCAGCCATCATAATGTTATATCCAACATCTTGTGCCCATTTAATCATAGCAGATTTCACCGTTTCATCCTGAGTATTCCATTTCAACAGCAAGTTATACATCCTTGACAAAGTCTTAGTTTTGGGATCTAACAGTTCTGTTTCCAATTTTGATTTTTCCATCTGGAATCCAATTCTCTTGTCCAAATTGTATGCCTCCATTATTTGATAATAATGAAGCCAATCTCGCACTTTGTTTTTTAGTTTTTCAAAACTCTGCAATTTCAATTTATCTCCCTCTTGTTCCAAAATTTCTGAGCCGGCACTTCTCCTTGTGTGCTCTTTTCCCCTGCGCAGAGAGACTCTGCCCAGAACATGCAGATACACATCTCCCCCAGTGTGCAGCAAACTGGTCTTGCCTGGGAAAGCTGTTTCATGTGGTCTGCAGAGGGCATAAACTGGTCCTTCTTAGATTGTTTCCCTTTTACCAGGGAGCTGCTGGGCAGCATCACTGCCTACGATAATCTTTTTTGTTAGTAAGGAGAAAAGAACAGCGGCAAAATGCTGAATTGGCCCCTCCTGAATGGGCCCCTCCTGCTCCTCATGAGGCTTCTGCCAGCGGCACACCCTTTCCAGCCAGCCTGTCAGACTCCCCTGGGCAACTTAATGCCATTGAGAATTGGGAAATGGCAGGTAATACAGAGAACAAGAAAGAAGCTCTCTCCAATTTGCTGTGTCTAAGCCGTCCCCCACAAGACAGGCTAGCTCCCACAACCCACAAGCAAATGATCCCTAGATGCAAACTAATTGATACAAAGGTTCCCTCCTTGACTCCAAGGTTGCCCCCCCCCCCCCGGTGCACAGTTATGCCTGGGCGGGTCCCACTGAAATGAGCAGGGGATTATCTGTGGCTGCCTGCATGGAAGAGTGTAGGGAATTTGATGGGAGTAGAAAGGCGGGCAGAGCAGAGGTGGAGGGCAAGAAAGATGAGGAAATTGCCTTTGAGAGTATTCATAATCTAAGCAAGCATGAAATGAACCCTACCTGGTGGCGGAGGAGGAGGGGAGAGGGGCGTGCCCAGCAGAGGCTCCTGCAAGACTGGAGCAGGAAGGGCAGGCTGCCGCCGCCTGTCCCTGCAGCTCATTAGGAATGCGTGGCACATTCCCTCCAGTGGCGCATTCTGCTGCAAGAAACCCAGAAAAAGACAAGAAAAATGAAGGCAGGTGCAATCTCATTTTCTGAGGGCTGCAAGTCAGCCAGGAAACGGCTATTATTCCATCGACTCTGTCGGCATTAAGTTATTTCCTTCACTAAATACGGGAGTGTTCATGAATATCTATTGAGTTCCAGGTAGTGGCGTCTGGCTGCACGGCGCCTCACTGATTGTAGCTTTATATTCCTCCGACAACACACCTCAATCTCACACTGAAGTGAAAGACAATAGTATTTTAAATTGGTTAATAAATCTCTAGATGGATGCTCCTGAGAGGCCAGGCGACTTCATCTCTATTACATGAATAAAAGTGATAAGGCCTCAGCCATGGAGGGGTGTTTCTGAATTGGGGAGGTTCCCTCCAGAACGCCCCCCACGTGCCCTTCAAGGCAAGCTGCCTCCTTCTCCCACTCAGCTCCAGGAAGGTCTTTGGGTGGAGCAGCCAAAACAAGCTGCCTTCACAGAGGAAGGGAAGGGGCAGTGGCGTAGCGTGGGGGGTGCAGGGGGGGCCGGCCGCACCGGGCGCAACATCTGGGGTTAGGGCAAATCCACGGGTTAGGGGGCGCAAATCCACAGGTTAGGGGGCGCAAATCCACGGGTTAGGGGGCGCAAATTACTTGCCTTGCCCCGGGTGCTGACAACCCACGCTACGCCGCTGGGAAGGGGTCAGCCAGAAAGGTCCTCTGTTCCCAGAGTCAGGATGGAGCTGATCACACCAGGAAGACAGTCTTCCTGAGCAGAACAGGAAGGGAAGGGAAGGGAAGGGGGACCCTTCCTTGGAGGAACAAAACAGAAATAAGGTTGCACAACATTAAGAGAATCATAGAATTGTAGACGGAAGCAGCACAAGGGTCATCTAGTCCAACCCCATGGAATGCAGGAAACCTTTGCTCAACGTGGGGTTCGAACCCACAATCCTAAGATTAAGAGTCTTATGCTCTACCAGCTGAGCTATCCCATCTATTTCTTTAGGCTTTCTTCGTTGCTCCAATTCCTCATTCATTTCTACTCAGCATGATGCCTTCTTTGAGGCAGGGCAATTTCACATTTCTCCTGTGTCAAGGATTTCCCCCCCCCCCGCCCCCACGCTCATGCAACTCCACAGGAAAAAGCTCTCTCCTGTGCACAAGCTCTCTGTGGCTCCCCTTCCTGTGAATGCCTGACAAAGAAGAATCTAATCGGGTTTGTGACTGTGACAATCAGATCCTCCACTTGAGAGGATTCCCACTCTTCAGGGCACCTTGTCCAAGTTGCCACTTACGCCCTGACTTGCAATGAGTTTCCTTGGCCTGCCTTTGGGCATTGTCCACTTTGAGAGCAGCACTTCTTATTTCAGGAGAGTGGCCGTCCTCCCCAGGCAGCCGGCGTCATCTGCAAAGCGGCTGACCTCTCCCTCCGTGCACTCAGGAGCAGGCCTCAGAATGTCATGTCGGCCCACAAAAGAGACAGCCAAGATGGCAGCTACTTTTCGCATGCAGCACCAAGGGTGGGGTGAGGGGGCGCCATGGGTTAGGAGGCCACATATTCATTACTGTTAGTGTGATGCTGACAAGGCTCTTGACAGGCAAGCATTCCTGACTCAGCACATGGCCAAGCTCTTCCAGCCCACACCATGACTTCCCCCTGAGATACAACCAAATAAAGACACACACACCCCTTTGGCTTTGCTGCAGCTCTGGGGTGGGGCTCCTCTGGAGTTTGGGTGCGGAGTGAGACCTTTTCCAGAATGGAAGGAGCTTATCAGAGGGAGATAGGAAGAAACTGAGATTAACTGAAACATCTCTGAGGTGAGAAGAGCTAACCAAAGGCAGGACTGGGAAGAGACTGAGGACTCCTTGTAGCAAAGGGGGGGGGACAATGAGAACCCCACACAAATGACACAGCTGAGAGAGAGAGAGAGAGAGAGAGAGAGAGAGAGAGAGAGGTTTAAGCTGAAGCACCATGATGATGGGAGGCTGGCAACTTACAGTTTTTGAAAATTTGCTGACATTTTTAAGGTTAAAAAATAAGAGCTGGTGCCAGAAGTTGCCTCCATAAGCAAAGTTGTTCCAGAGCAAATTAAGAGGGAGCCGTAGAGGAACATTCCCAACCATTCCCCTGATCTCTCTCTCATTGCTCCTCCTCTCCGTCACACCTTCTGGATTTAGGGAGAAGCACTGGGTTCAGTCTGTCCTTAGTGGGCATCTCTAGGGCAGTGGAGCTGCCAGGATGGAATCTTCTCTCAGGAACACAGGAAGCTGCGTTTGACAGAGTCACTCCATTGGTCCTTTAGCTCAGCATTGTCCACAGCAGGGGCTGCCCAGAGTTTCTGGCAGGAGACCGAAGCATTGGAAAGGTTCAGAAGAGGGGGTGGAGGGGCTCCCCTATGAAGAAAGGTTGCCACCTTTGGGACTTTTTAGTTTATAGAAAAGGCAAGTAAGAGGCAACATGAGTGAAGTTTATAAAATGCCAGGCACAAGCATGGAGAAAATGGGTGGCGAAAAGGTTTTCTCCCTCTCTCACAACACCAGAACCCATGGAAGCTCAGGAAGCTGAATGTTGGAAGATTCAGGGCGCATAAAAGAAGGTACTTCTTCCTGCAGCACAAACTTTGGAACTCCCTCCCGAAGGAGGCAAGGGCTGGTTGCCAACTTCAATGACTTTAAAGATGGGACAGATTCACAGAGGAGAAGGGCTCTCTCTCAGTGGCCACGAACCACAAGCTCTGCCACCAGGGCAGAGGCAGTAATGAACAAAGGATTTTATAGATAGGGATGAGCAGATCTGATAATATCACTTTCTCTTGGGTTCTCATTTTTCCAATCTGAAATTCAGTTCTCCACATTTCCACATCAGTTTGCATTTCGATGCAATATTCTCTTTATAGGCACATGTTTCTATGTAATTTCTATGCAGTGACTCCTCATTTGACAAAGACTTAAGGATCACCTTGCCAGATCAGAATAAAGGTCTATCTAGACTAGCATCAGGTAGTGCTGAAGGGATTTGATTCTGGGGTTATTTTATTATTGTTTTGCATTTTTGCATTTTACAATATTTCAACAACAAAAATTAAATCTAAACAAATTAAAGCTACATTTTCTTTTACTCCCCCCCCCTGCAGTTCCTTATTTTATATCGTAATCTTACTGCATAACCAATTCAAACCTACTTACAAGTTTAACCTTGTGGCAATCCTGCTTACGTTTTTAATTGTTTACAATTTTTCTTCATGCATTCAACAATTTTCCCCAATTCTATTTTAAAAAGTCTCTCATCTTAATCTCTTATTCTTCCAGTAAATTTCGCCATCTCTACGTATTCCATCAATTTTCTCAAGATTCTTACCAGATCCTTACCTTCCAAGATTGGAATACTGTGTGGATTGGAATGCTGTATAATTATCCTGAGGATCCTTTGAATTTTGTGATACAGCCCTTATATCACAAAATTTAATCAAACACATCAAAAATGTATATATTGTGATAAATATTTTAGGATTGGCAGATACTAGGGCTCTCATGAAATTTTCTCTTGGCCACACTTTCAGAATAGCAATTTGCTCACACCGCGTCAATTGTTTTCTTTATCAGAAACATGTTGGAAAACAAAAACAGTGCTTGATTTATCACACAGAACACAACACCTTCATAATATGACCATGGGACCACCCAGAAAGTATAAAGCAATGTAGCTATAAAAGAACATGAATACAATTATGAACGAGGCCTCTGACATATGTACCTTAAGGTGTGAGCTTGCTTTGCCAGGCAATCCCATTTAGATCAGCTCTATTTTGAGGCAGACAAACTTAGACTGCCCTGAAATGTTTCAGTGCTTCTGTGATTGTCCCTTGAACCTTCCCTCTACACCTGCCATCCTCTCCTGCCACACCCTCTGAGAAGCCACGAGACTTGGGTCTTGGGTCCTGTCAGTGGTGGCGTCCTGGTTATGGGATGCCCTCCTCACAGAGGCTTCACCTGGCCACCTCCCTTGTGTTCTTTTTGACACCAGAGAAGGAACTTCCTGTCCCTTTATTACAATCCATTTGGGACTTTAACGTTTCTGCACCAAATTCATCTGGGTGTTTATGATGGTATTAATGGTATTTAACTGCCATCTATTATGCTGATTCAGCTGCTTTTGTGATTTTATGTCATTTTATTTTGTTTTGTTGTGATTGTATGTGTATTTTATTGTTTTATGTCAAAGCGAGTCAGAGACCGTGGTCACGTGGGCCATCTCTCTCTCTCTTGTGCCCGCACACACCAGAGAAGAATACATAAATAAATAGGAAAGAAATTATGCATTTGAGATACCATGGCCATAATTTAAATACAGTGATACTCTCTGGGTTACATACGCTTCAGGTTACAGGCTCCGCTAACCAGAAATAGTGCTTCAGCTTAAGAACTTTGTTCAGGATAAATACAAGAATTGCGAGGTGGCAGCCCCATTAGTGAAAGTGGTGCTTCAGGTTAAGAACAGTTTCAGGTTAAGAATGGACCTCCAGAATGAATTAAGTACGTAACCAAGAGGTACCACTGTACAAAGTTTTGTGCATATTTTTTAAAATGAACAATCCCAAGCCCCACAGGTCAATGCAGAAGTGGAATGGAACATATCTTTGTTACTATCCCACTTCTGCATTAGAGGTAACAATACTATCTAAATACTTCTATCCAGTATCATACACAAACTATATACTTATATAATAATCTATTGTAACTGAGAATACTTATTTTATCACATGATAATTTCCTCCTTTATCACATGATAATTTCCTCTTTGCACTTTTTCTCTTTCTCCCCCCCCCCCCTTTATTTATAACCAAACACTTCTAATAAAATATTAATTTTAAAAATGAACCAAGTCATGCGAAATGACCTGATACAAAATAACCCTTCCAAGTCAGCAGCAGCACCATCCCTTTCCCAACAGCAGCCGATATCCGGTGGTAGAATG